AAGATTAAACTTTTCATTTTATGGTAACTTAGCTCCAAGCATTGTCAGCCTTGGTTTACCTTTTGGACTTTCTTTCCTAGAGAAACTTACAGGTCATTATCAAGACTGTTAACAGGAAATTCAGTTGTGACCTGTTAGAATGAACAGAGGAAACCGTCAGCAGACACATCAAAAGTTTGGATTTATCATAAATGAAAACTTGCATCACAAACTGTTTCTGTTTTAAAAAGAAGTATCAGTGGTATAATGAATAACATAAGAACACCAATTGAACTGCACTCCTAATATCAAACTAAATATGAATTATATTCACGATATCATACCAAATAGATGCTTGCAGACACATTTTGCTGTTTATTTTTCCAAAGGTTTGATTCAAGTATAAAATCACACAACAACCATAATGCCTGCAGTGGACTCGAGAAAAGATTTTATTCTTGCCACCACTGGAAATTACTTTGGTATCAGCCCAGCAGATGGCAGCATTGCAGATCTCCATAACTCCTCAGAACTGAACAGTTTCTTGGATGATGGGAATGTCAACATTCTGGCTGCAAGAATTGAGACAAAGGCTGGAGGAAAAGAAGTCAATTTTTGTAATAGGGTAAGGTTTCAGTTGTCAGTATTTCAAAGTTGGCAAAAACAATTTCGCATGCATGGTATTTTGTTCCGAGAAAAGTGATGAGGTGTTATTGTTTTTCAATTTCTGGGTTTATTTATCCAAATGTGTTATGGATATTTCAAGTATGTACTGCTTTGCTTAAATAATAAAAAAAGCATTTATTTATTTATCAAGGGATTATGTTTTTTTTCTTTTTTTTTTTTTTTTTTTTTGAAGTTGTACCATATTGAACTTGTGGATTAAGAATATTAAAATGAGATAGGCACAGCATTATTAAAGTAAAATCTCATAGTTTGTTGGCAGCAGACATACTAAAATAAATATATATTAGAGCTAGAAGTATTATATGTTACTGATTTTGTTACTTGTGTACTTCAGGTTGAGCCAAGTGACACCAATGAGAAAGTGATAGTTTTCTTTAAGATCAAGCCTGATGTGATCACCCCAGACAACATTCACAGAGATGTGTTTGTCTCCTCCATGTTGGACTCTCCTGTCAGTGCACTGTATCACGCTGTGCAGAAAGTTTTTGCTCCACTGCTGTTGAAGGTACTGATTGCCATTGATCTGTAATGCAGAATTAATTGTACTGGCAATATAATTGTACTGCCTGGAAAATTAAATTTTATCGAAGTTATTAATTGTTCTCGTGGAGTAATTATAATGCCTGGAAAATGGTACCAGTACCATTGTAAGGCAACTGAGAGAAGCAAATTTTGATATCTAGAGGTAAAATGTTATGAATGAGTTCATATTTCCTGGTGTAATACAGGTAAGAACATCGTATATGTGGGGTGTAATAGGTCAAAGAAAAAAAAAGGATTTTGCTTTTTTTTTTATCTAAGTAGAGGATGTTGTTTTATCATACTTCAATTAATTCTTTACATTTATAATGATTTCTCTATGTTGAATTGTCTTAAATCATGGAACAGTTGTGGCTGCTGAACATGCAGTGCTATAGGGAAACTTTTCAGGAAAGAAATTGCCAATTCAAATCTGTATTCTAGGATGAGAAGTGGAGTAAAAGTTTTGACCCTAAACTCCAGAGCCTTCTCAGTGAGCTGGAGGCTGGGCTGGGTAGTGTGATCAGGAAACAAGATGCTTCATATTCTGGAAGGCAAGGGGACACGGATGAGGATAATTTAGGAGGTCAGTGTTAACATAGTGTGGCAAGTTTTTGAATGCTTCTTTTAAATGAATATTTAGGAGGTTAGGGCTGATATCGTTGTAATTATGAGGTTAAAATCTGCACAAATTGAAGTTTGTGTTATATTGACATGTCTTTGCATGAATAGATCAACATTACCAGTCAGTGTTATACCCTTTCTTTTTTCAAAAGAAAAAAAAAACATTTATGCACAGCAGAGCATGCTAAACACCAATTACATCTCTACTGTAATATGTATTGCAATTGACTGATTCTGAGATCTTCACTAGCACCATAACCAGTTGATAAACCCCAAGGTGCTTTTCTCATTAATCCCTGAAGTGATCAGATGTGCTGAAAATGACCGTAAATAACCAGAAATAATTGTCATTCATTTAAAAGCTCTAGAAGGTGACATTTCCCTTAAAGTTGGTAATTTTGCATTATTTTTTTCCTTAGGAATCCTGACACCATCAGATGAATTCCAGTTCTGGTCAGAAGTGGCCATGTCAGGAGCCAAACTCGTGATCAAGGAAAGAGCACAGGGCTTTCAGGTAATGCTGAGGTGGTATGTAACAAAACAATTCTGATTGAAGAGGCCGTATTTACATAACAGTCAATTATTTTAAATTTTTTGATTAATTTTTTTTTTTTTACTTTATGAATTTTTCTATTTGATTTAAATTTTCAGAGAGCTCTTCTGAAGTCTTATTTACTAGCAAGTAGATTGTAGAGAATTTTAAACGATAGTCAGAAAGAAAATTCAATTTTATTAATTCTGTGTCATTTCAGTAATGTTGTAATCGTTTTTGGGGTTAATTGGCAACCTTGCAGTGGTAGTGCTAAATCTCTTTTTAATTAATATAGTATTCATATTTTCATGTTTAGATTTCTTTGTAAATAAATGGTCTCAATTTTTTTTTACATCTTAGGAAATGTTTCAACCAATCTCCAAGGACTTTGCCAGCCTTGATTCCATGGCATTACCTGAGTGTCTTGAGTTGGTTGAGCTGACCCAGGACACATTGGATGAAGTTTGGAAGCAGACGGAGCATGATCCTCCATATAAAGAGTCAAGGATGAGGCACCTCATGGATGTCATTGGTAAGGGTCGCCATCTATGTTTTTGTTTTTTCTGCTGTTTTATTATATATTTTGCCATGTGATTTCATGTTAAAAATCATTTTGTCAATTCAAGTACAAGAATTATATTGAATATGTATTAATTACTAGAATCAAAACTGCTATTCAAAGAAACTATTGATTTAAGCATTGAACATTGTTTTCACAAGTTAAGAACCCTTGGAAATAATTTCCCTAGATATACTCTTACACTTAACAAGTCATTACAAGTCAGCACATCAGTATTGAAATAATAAGATAATGATAATATTATTTTTGTCTAATGGTAACCATTAATAGGAGGGGCACTTGGGCGTTACATTCAAAGAAAACTGGCTCAAGAGGATATATGGAAGGGGCAGTTCAGTAAAGTCAAAGAGAAACTAAGAGCTGGATTGTCTGTCTGTGAGCGCTGGACATCGGCATGTGAAACTCTGACAGTGCAGTTTTGGAAACGTTATGGTCCCCATCCCTGGAAAGGCGACAAGTTTGTTCCAGAGAATCTTACCCAGCTGGCTGCCAGACTGGAGGAGGTGGGTTGGTGCTTCTTGAATGTACTTTTAGAATAAGAACAGTTGTGATACTCGACTTCTCCATACAGGTTTGGGAATTTTCTCCTTTTTTTCTGGGGATTGAATCTTTTTATTTTGTGTTAAAGACAAAATTAAAGGAAAATTATTGTTTTTTGTTTACTATTTTTGAAAAAAATTGAATGTAGAAATGCCCTTTTTTGATTTTTTCAGTTCTGTATATAAAAATGAAGTTATGTGATTCAGTTTTGCAGATATGTTTAAATTAAAAAACAAAACAAATAATGAATATAACTTCCAAAATTCCATATAATCTAATTCTATTGACTTATTTCAGATTACTACACTTCGTACAGTGCATGAACAGCTTGTCCGTCTTCTCTCTCCTCAAGAGCAAGAGGAACTCCGTACAGCAGCTGCATTCAGTTCTTTTGCTGGGCTGAACCCCCTGCAGTACAACCCATATACTCAGCCATTATGGAAAGCTGCCGTGGCACAGTACGAGAGAGCTATGGCGCCAGCAGAACAGAGGATTGCTGGGAAGCTGAGGTCACAGTTTCGTAGCATGCAAGCTAACTCTCAGCAGGTATGCATTTGTGTGTAACTCATTTGAGAATGATTAGCTTTTTTTCAGTTGTCAAATTGGTTTTTGCACAACAAAAATTAAAAATACATGCAAAAACAAAAAAAAAGTGTAAAACCCAAAGCTTATTACACATTGTCAAGCAACAAAAATTTACACCGTATCATATGTCACTAATATTTCCGGAAGTATGGCTGTGAAATACTTCAGCATTGTCATTTTATTACCAGGGTCTTTTAAGGATAGTTACTTTTGTTTTATTTATCAAGTTACATGGGTTTTTAATCACAAGTTTATTTGTCTGTTTGTCACATGTGAACATAAAAAAACAAGTAATTGAAATAGAACTGTCAAATTTGAAACAAGATGCCCTGGCCCTCATGTCACTGTTATATACTGGATAATTTTATTGCTTTGTCCTCATGGCTTATTTTTCAAGAGTTTGTGTTTGATACTTTGGGTGGGGGCTCTGTAGCTATGCAGCCACTATTTGCACCCCCCCCCCCAAAAAAAAAAATAAATAAAATAATAGTAAAATAAAAAAAAAAATGATAAAAAGATAGCAATAATTTGATCTATTTCATCCTCAGTTACTGAGAGAGTTCCAGAGATACAAGGAACTGATCAAGAGACCAAGCATCAGTAAAGAAATGGTGGCAGAGAGGTAATCACGAGAAAAACTCAAGTCAGACTATTAGAATGTTGCTACTTTAATTTGCTACATATAGCTTAACTATTTAAATATATCTTTATAGTCATTATCTTTCATACAAAGGCTTTAAGTATTCATTGGGTTAAAAAAAGTATCGAGTCATTAATTTATAATCAACACTAATGAGTTCCTCAATTTTGTGGAGTTTGCAAGTTATATAATTGTATACTTCAGTTTTAATAATGTGATATGCTTTATTTAACCTCCTACTTGATTTGAAATATGTTGTGGAGGGTTTTTTCTTTTATTAAATATTTTATAGGCTGACTTCTAACCAGCCCCAATCAAAAATATTACCAAAAATCAGTTTTATACACCACATTAAAACTCTTGAGAATCTTTCTTTAAAAAATCATCAAAGCAGTGTAATAAAACAATATGAATTCTTACAGGGAGACCCTGCTAGGTCAATTGACAGTGTTTATCAAGCAAATCAGGGATGACTTCACCCAGAGGACATCAGGAGACAAGGCCCCACCCAAGGGAAAGAACATGCCTGAGGTTGTCAACTGTATTGTGTGGGTCAGACAGCTGGAGGCAAAGGTAAGTAAGATTCTTTGTCACATTCATTACGGTAATGACTCCATCTTTTCATTGGGGGGAAATTTCAGATCCCACAGATGCATAATCTTGGACTCATTGTGAGGCTTTTACAGAATACAGTGAACCTCAATGGAAATGTTGTAATTTTGTGAATTAGTGACTCAAAGAAATACAGTATGCTTAAAGTTCACAATTTTCCCCATTGAAAAGATTGAGTCATTACTGTGTTATTTTTGTTGATTTTAAAGAAACAATGTTTATCTATAGTATATGTTTTATCCACATTAATTATTGTCTGTTGTTGCTCTTAGACTAGCTCCACGGCATGGAGTTTCTTAGACTAGGGGACCCACACGAAAGCTGGACACCTCATTATGCTATTCTCTCATAAGCACATTCAAATTAAATTTGTCTTTTGATTTAGACAAGGCGATGACAATAAAACTATTTTTATTGCATTCAATTTGCCATTAATTTATTTCAAAAATTTGATTTTGCCATTATAATTAGCCATTCAGTTTGGCCAAGAGAAATTCTGCCCTAAGGGGAACCAAGACTGACAATAATTAAGTATGTGTCACTATAAGTTGCCCACACATGAAACCAACTCAGCAGGTGTGTGCAGGCTGGGTGTATGGCCATTACTGAAACAGTAGTGACACCTTGATTCATCAGAATTGAATCTCAATAGATAAATTTGGATTTCAGCTGATTCAATATTATTTGCTTATTGATGAAAATATATTTGAATACTTTAATTTATTTGAAGAACAAACTGGGGGAAGGGTATTTTTATATCAAAATTTGCATATTATCTTCTTCGCCCTTATCATCATTTAATGTGTACCTTTTTTAAATAAAGTGTATATGTGATTAATGATAAATAGTGAAATTAATTCAGGTCTTAGGGACTGACATTTGGAGTATCAGAATAATAGAGCATTTTCATTCAGAGAAGATTTCCAATCCTAAAGTAACCATGGTAACAGTAACCATGGTACTGTTAATTTCATAACAAACCAGTGTAATGATTTCCAAGGTGTTTTTATTGTTGTCATTTTCTGTGGTAGTGGATACAGGTAACAGGACAATGATGGTTCTTGTTGCACAATGGTCTGCAGGTGTAAATGACAACCATGAGGGTTAATTTCATCTGAACAGTGGTAGTAATTACGATTTGATGATGATGCGAGGTTGCTGACTAAAACTCAAAGGATCACATATTTAGTGTGTGATACAGCACATGAGAGCACCACAGAATTCAACTGTAACACAACATGTTGTATTCGGGATGCTCACCAATGGTTCATTGTAATGAACACTTCAGATATTTTAAGGAGGGTAGAACTCAGATTTTATATCCAGGGCCGTAAACTCTATGTTGGTGTAAAGAGAAATGCAGGTCAACCACAAAACCAAGTTTACAAGAACACTGTGCATGGAAATCTCTCCAACTTACTCTCTCCCTCGTCTGCCAGTCAATAACCCTGCTACAGTCAAAACTTAATATGCATGGGAAATAGTAAATTGATATCTAATAAAAGATAGGGAGGGTCTCATCCATACATCAGAATCAACTTTTTGTTCATCATGTGATAATATAATTGAGTACATTTGTGTTACATAATGTTTAAACTGTGCTATGTTACAAATTTTATGTCACCCTTGAAATGATCTCATAAATATAGGAGTACTGATTTTATATTGAATTTCTATTAAATATCGTATTATTTGGCTTAGTATGATAAAAGCTTTTGTTTGTTTAAAAAAGTAAAAAACATTTTTAAAAATGTTTTTAAAAAATTTTTTTCTTGTTTGTGTGTGAAGTTTATTTCTGTGTTTCTGAAGCTGTTAGCTACACTGAACTATTCTCATCCCAGATTTGATAGTAGTGGAAGATATTTCTTTTTCTTGCAGTTTGAATAACTGCATCAGGTTGCCATGTGAGAGAGTCACCCATGGACAAAAAATTGTAAACCCATCACCCCATTTTGAAAGGGGTATATCAATGGATTTTGTTGGATTTCTCTGACAGAATTCACTTATTTTCTTCTTCAAAGCCTTGAAGTAGTCCACTTCTTGGTAGAAATCAGAATCTTGTTCCTGTAAAAGCCTGGCAAGTTTGTTTTTATAATAATCATACAGAATATAGTCTGCTTGACTAAGTTTCCGATGGCTTTGAACAACATAAGGATCCATGTTATCTTTGATGTTTTTAATATAGTCCTCAGAATATTGTGTGCCATTTTTAAAAACTGTAAAGACAATATTGTAAAACTCCCAACACAACAATCTCTTCAGTAGGATCAAGCATTCATCAAATTGTTCCAAAATTACAAAAAAGTGGATATCGTTTTCTAGTTTCTGTATGAAGTTTTGAGTTGCTTCTTTTGTGAAATTCTTCAAGCCCAAGTAACGACACATGCTGTTTGTATAGTCAAGCATTTTTTTAGGAAACTGTTTAAAGAAAATATTCAGTTGATATCTACCCTTCAGCTGCATACGCTTGGCCACATGATTAAAGTTATAAGCTGATTTAAATTGATCAAGAGGTTCTCTCAGAATTCCAATGAAGAAAGTGTCCTCTGGAGTTAGCTGGTGGATTTGCCTTGGATGATAGACTGCATGGTTGGCCATGATGTCAAACTTTTCATGATCAGTGGCATATTTTTTTAAGAGAGTCTTAAAGTTTAACTCAACCCCTTTCATTCCTACTGGGATTGCAACTTTCAGATTATTGTAGAGACCATATCTTAGAATAATACTTGATAGAGTTGTGCTGCCACATTTCTTCACTTTGAGAAAAACAACATGTCTTTTAGGGATGCAGCTTTTACTGTGTTTATTCCATGGGACTAGAGACTTCTTGAGATCTCTGAGGCAGTATTGTTGTTGGCTTGGAGTGGAGTCTTCTGCTTGCTCCTCTGAAAGTTGTCCCTTTTTTGTAGGGTTGTAAAGAAGCTGCAGCACTTCCCACATCTTAGCTGACTTGTCATCAGTGACTTTGGGTGACACTGTTTTATAGTCATCTTTATCAGAATTGGTAATTCCATTTTGAAGTGAGTTGTTTGCCCCAAGTTTCCCCATTGCTCCTTCAGCAATAGATTGCACCATTTTAGTCTTGCTGAAAAGTAAGGTTCTTTTTGTTAAGATATTTTTTAGATAAACTTAGTTTAAGAGAATTAAAAGGAAACTCAGAGAAATTGTTACAGGAGTCCTTGATTATTGACCTTGGCAAATTAATGTTTAAGTTCTAGAATTTGATAATTGACATTGTTATATGGTGAGGTAGGTTTGCTGAGAAAGTGATAAGCAGAACAAGTGCTTAATAATAATAATAATAATAATAATAATAATAACGTTTATTGAGCACTAAAAACATGTTCTATTAAATTTATTGGCTCACTAGACAGTTTCTAAACATTTACCACGAGTGTGCATGTACTTACAACATGGGAGCGTGCCATGCTGGTTTTTGAAGGGTCCCTGTCAGGCCATACAGGACAAATCCAATGACGAACACAGTCGAAACGTAGGCAATGCCTTTCACACAAGTAGCCATTCTGTTTGTACTTAAAAGAGCATACAATTACAGTATATATAAGAAAGTCTCAGTCAGTTACGTTAACTTAGTATTCATCTGTAATAGAATGTAAATGCTGAATCAACCAATTAAGGTGGTTAGGGCTTCATGCTTGGTCAAGCTTGGAATGAAACTGTAAGAGTTGTTTGAATATAAAAGTATGGCTCCATTTTGCCAGTTTATTGTACTGTGTGGACATTAGTATATTATATCAACAAAACAACTTATACATGTAAATTTTCAAACCTAACTAAAAAAATTGCATGGCAAAAATAGCTTAAGAGAGGCAAAAAGACTGTTTAATGTTGTTTTATAGTGACATTTACAAGACATAATGTACTGTCTACATCACTTGAACATAAATAATCGTAAAAATGGTGCTTTCACATTTTTGTGGAAATGGCGATGAAATATATAAAAATTAATATCAAACTTAAACTGCCTCCTCTCCTTTTTTTCTCAAATGCAAGGAAATTTCTTCACCACAAATATGCATAATTCCATGAACGCTTGCATAATTGACATGTATATTGTACTGAAGTGCACCTCTGATATAGTGATTGTATGGGCAGTGTTGGAAATAGAACAAATGTATTATAATATACTTACATTTTACTTGGTAAAAACTTCTAGAATCTTTCAAATTTCTTTGGTTCCTTTTGTCTTGTGGGAGCAGAACAATATATTTACAATTTTTAAGATGGCAAGTTTTAAGATGACAGTTCCATCCTGTCTGCATTATTCTTGTTCACACAGGTAAGCACAGGACTGTGCAAGCTGGACAGGTGTAAATGAACTATAGATTCTCTACCTGAAATTGATTTTCTGCACCCAAATACAAAGACTTTTCCATACTTACATTACAGAAAGTTTGTTCTGGTAAAGTGAGCACATTTTGTTTGTCATTACACATGTATAATGAGCTTTAATTGATTGGTGCTGATGTCTCTGATATGTCAGGCACAAAGAACTTTTTCTGATGTAGAAGTTTTTTAGGGAATATTTAAAAAAGAAATTCAGAGTGAACATGTGAAACTATGTTCAAATTCAAAAGTTGTTCAAAAGTTTTTTTTATTCTTTTAAGGAAACTGTAAAAAAAATTAATGACCCAGTTAATGCATTTATTTTTATAACATGAATGTTCAGGTAGACATTATCCTTGAAGGATGAAGTATCAAAATGAAACACCTACACTTAGTTGTCATTTCACCAGTAAAGATTAACTTTTTCCTCAACATACAGCAGCAATTGTCTATGATTCTTCTTCTTCCATGATTCTATCTACACCATTTTCATTAATATTATAGCTGTCTGCTTCACACTCATGGTTTTCCTTGAATGCTGCAGTTTAGATGTTCTTCCATCTCTTTACACATTAACAATGATGGCTTCATTATAGAAATAAACTAAATAACCTTATTGTATTTAAAAAACAATATCACAGTCCCATGTTTTCCTAATTATTATATTTATATATTTACTAGTAGAGTCAAGATAACTTTAAATAGTCCTTTATACTTCATATTAACTGTTGTAATACATAAACTTAAGTTGATCAGTTGGTTTGCAGCCTTTACCTCAGGACAAAATATGAACAATGACGGGTGATAAATATATCCAATCCACAGTTTTATGATAGTGAGCCACTAATAGCTCAATATACTGTTAATAATAATGATAATAATAATAATATATTATTTGGTTCAGTCCTGTGTGTTAGGTTTTTTTACTGTTTGAAAATATTCATTTAGACATTTCTGAAGCTCTAGCTACACTGAACTATTTTTATCCGAGAATTGATAGAAATGGAAGATATTTCTTTTTCTTGCAGTTTGAATAACTGCATCAGGTTGCCATGTGAGAGAGTCACCCATGGACAAAAAATTGTAAACCCATCACCCCATTTTGAAGGGGGTATACCAATGGATTTTGGTGGATTTCTCTGACAGAATTCACTTATTTTCTTCTTCAAAGCCTTGAAGTAGTCCACTTCTTGGTAGAAATCAGAATCTTGTTCCTGTAAAAGCTTGGCAAGTTTGTTTTTATAATAATCATACAAAATATAGTCTGCTTGACTACGTTTCCGATGGCTTTGAACAACATAAGGATCCATGTTATCTCTGATGTTTTTAATATAGTCCTCAGAATATTGTGTGCCATTTTTAAAAACTGTGTAAACAATATTATAAAACTCCCAACACAACAATCTCTTCAGTAGGATCAAGCATTCATCAAATTGTTCTAAAATTACAAAAAAGTGGACATCTTTTTCCAGCTTCTGTATGAAGCTTCGAGTTGCTTCCTTTGTAAATATCTTCAACCCCAAATAACGACTCATACTGTTGCTGTGATCATGCACCCATTTGGGATAATGTTTGAAGAGATTTTTCAGTTGATTTTTACCTTCAAGGTGCATACGACCAGCCACATGGTTAAAGTTATAAGCTGATTTAAATTGATCAAGAGGTTCTCTCAGAATCCCAATGAAGAAAGTGTCCCCTGGAGTTAGCTGGTGGATTTGCCTTGGATTATAGACTGCATGGTTGGCCATAATGTCAAACTTTTTATGATCAGCGGCGTATCTATCTAACAGAGACCGTATGTCCAAATTGCTCCCTGAGTGGCTAGTTGGGAGAGCAACTTTCAAATTATTGTGCAGACCATATCTTAGAATAACACTTGATAGAGTTGTGCTGCCACATTTCTTCACTTTGAGAAAAACAACATGTCTTTTAGGGATACAGCTTTTACTGTGCTTATTCCACGGGACTATAGACCGCTTCTTTAGACTGCTTAGGCAGTATTGTTGTTGGCTTGGAGTGGAGTCGGTGGTGTCATCTGCTTGCTCCTCTGACATAGGTCTGAAAAGTATCTGTGATGTATCCACTGTCTTAGTAAACTTTTCATCAGTGAGTTTGGATAACTCTGTTTTGTAGTCTACGCTTACAGTTTTGGGTGCCTTCTTTAAAGGGTGATGAATGCTTGCTGTAAGTTCCTGATTTGCGCCTTGGAATACATAGGGAGAAATTTGTCTGAAAATTCAGGTAGATTTTTCAATAAATTATATCTGAATGATGTCTGTGTAACCCAGCATATGTAGAGTGATAATTATTCATGCTGTTTAGTTGCCCAAATTAAAACAGTGATGGGTCAAGAACTAGTTTCTTCATTAAAACAAATGTAAAATGCTGTTTGAATACTCAAATTTTATTTTTAAAACATTTTTCTTGCTTTTTATTGCTTTTATGCTAAAATCTGCAGAGGCTGTTTGCTATAAATTTGTTTTGGAAAATAATACACAAGTTAAAGAAATAAATGAAAAATGCATACTACTTACGGTAGAGGTCTAAACAAGGGTTCTTGTTTGATCCTGGTGAAAGCAAAAAGGACGTATCCCATGAGGAAAAGAATAATCCAAGCACAGACACTTTTTGCGTAACTAACCATCTTCTTTATGCTGAAATATATTGCTAAAGAATTTCACCCAGGTCCAGTGCAGTGAAAATTTTGGTCACTATATATATATAATATGTACTATATAAGAGTAACACATGTGCATCTACTGCTAGAACAATGAGAGTGTTAGTACTTGGATCTCCTGGTATTTCTGTCTCTTCTGCATACGTAATTATAAGCTTTCTGTAGAATATCTCAGGGCTTTAAAGGGAATTCTCATTAATTTCACCTTTCTGAAAGAAACAAACCTTTGTTTCTACTACTGACAGGTTAATGGTTTATCCCGCTATCTAAATGAGATATATCTGTATTTTCAATCAAAAGTTGCATGCCCCAAGTAATTTTCTTGTTGAGTGGAGATTTAAAACCTTGATTGTGATGCTGGGTTGAAGGGAATAGGGGCGGAATAATTAAATATAGATCTATATAATTTGGTGGCATTTTATGGCAGTTACACAGTCTTGGTATAGAAATATTGTTTTTACTGGGGCAGTATGTTCATTTTTATATTGTCAAAATTTGGCAAGTTATGTACTTTGTACAACTTAATTTCTTTATTTAAATATTTTTGAATTGCAATCTCTTGAAACCAAATTGTATTTAATTCAAGTTACAGTGAATAAAACATTCTGATTTTATTTTTGGATATGAACATTACTGAAATTCATTGTGAAGAAACAAAAAAGATATTTTACTTGGGGGTTTACTCTTTGTGAAAATTGATGAATGTTTTCTCTTTCCTCAAATTATGTAGATAAAACCAGTTTAATATTATATCGATTACACAACACTAGGATGATGGATTTTCATCAATGATTAGAAGTCACATGTCTATGGCTGGTTGTGACATGACCTAACAATGGTTGTGACATGACATAACAATGGTTGTGACATGACATAACAGTGGTTGTGACATGACATAACAATGGTTGTGACATGACATAACAATGGTTGTGACATGACATAACAATGGTTGTGACATGACCTAACAATGGTTGTGACATGACATAACAATGGTTGTGACATGACATAACAATGGTTGTGACATGACATAACAATGGGGTAGGGGCGTCAAAAGTAGACATTACATGTTGATGGCGTTAGGGGGGTAAATATGTAGTTTTTTTTTCACAAAGCAAAATCCCAGATATGACATTATTTTATGTGCCATTCAAAAAATGAAAAATATGTTTTACTCAAAGAGGATTTTTTTGCATTATTCCAAAACTACACAATATATTCAACAGTCATATTTATATTATACTGAAGAGGTCATTCTGTCTAGGGACCAGCACCAAATTAGATAAATATTTATTTACATTTTTTTTATGATATGTTTTCAGAAAATAAAAAGCAGCACTATTACTTGAAATTGGGGAAAAAAACTAGTGTCAGCTTTATAGGTGACTAATTACTTAATATCTTCACCATTCCAACTAGAATGCGAATAATTAGTGACATCAAATGACAAGCACAGTGTTTTATTTCAGGTGGAGGAAACTAACATCATTGCCGAGGCACTACTGGGAGACCTGTCAGGCTTTCATAATTTCCGCAAGGATCTCTGCGATCTTCTTGACGAATTAAGAAGCTGGCGTCAGGATCAGTTTGATGAGTGGTCCCGGGACATGCAGTCACAGATCGAGGATTCTGGGAAACCTCTCAGGTAGATACTTGGTTGTGCTTCTGGTTATTTTTCTATACAGGGTTTATAATATTTAGTACATTTTTGTAGTAAATGCAACTTAAAATTTTGAACACTGCACAAGAAGTGGTGTGATAATTAAAGTATAACTTGTGTGGCTAATGAATGTTTTATACAGATTATTATGTTACCATGATTCTGTTTTTGGAACCATGAAACTTTTGAACTATTATTATTTTTATTATTATTATTTTAACAGTCTAGAGACCAGTGGCCAGTTAATGGAACTGTCCCATTCAGATGGCAAGCTGCACGTCAACTACAGTGAACGTCTGGTGACCCTGCTGCGAGAAGTGCGTCAGTTATCATCCCTGGGGTTTGCCATTCCAGCCAAGATCCAGCACACTGCTGCCACTGCTCAGAAATTCTATCATCATGCTGTTATTTTGAAGCAGGTAACTTGTATGTTTCCTTATGGACTTCTCTTGTAAATCCACTCATCATTTTTTTATTACCTTATTTTTAACTTTTCCTGGCTCAGCTGATAATACATGGGGCCAAGCATGCTGACCTTCAAAAAGTTAACTCATGTTGACCTACAAGAAATAAACTCATGTTGATTTATAGTTTTTAGTTGAACAGAGTGCTGAAATAGAGTACATATTTTAATCAGTAATATAAATTAGTATTGAACCATGCAGTAAGTGTTGTTATGATGATGCTATCTCCAGGTTGCCCATTTCTACAACACCATAGACCAACAGATGATCCCAAGCCAGCAGTCCATGATGTTGGAGTCAGCCCTGGCTTTTGAGAAGATCATCAAAAATCCAAAGTCAGGTATGACTTTTTTGCCTTTTAGAAAAACTAATTCAATTTGTCTTTCTCTATGCCTGCCTGTCTGTCTGTCTGTACTAAAATATATGTACTTAAATAAAAAAAAAAGTTAACAGCGGTAGATTCATTGAGTTACAATGTCACTCTGTCCATGCAAATTCATTCATGATATATGTCAGCTTAAACCATCTTATAAGTTTGCAGCAAAATTGCATCATAAAATCCCCCTTGCAAATTTTCTACAACTTTGTGACAGCAATTGGTAACAGACCTTAAATTTTGCTAAAGCTTGCACCCCCCAGTCTTGATCTTGTGTCTATCAGTTTCAGTCACTCCAGTCTCCAAAAATTTAAGAGAACTTCAAAATAGATGATACCACAGCTATTATTATTATTACTGATTTTTTGTGCAGTGCTTCCAGTACCATTTAAATTATTATCATTATGTTAATTTTTTGTGTACATTTTTTCCATGGCAGGAGCCAAAGTGAAGGGGGACTCCGTGCAGATCACTTGGGACAACCCAGAGGAGCTGGAGTCGTATATCCAGAAGCTACAGGCTGCAGCGGACAGGTTGACCTCAGAGAATAGGAGACTGAGGAAATCACACAACATTGTCTGTGAAAAGGTTTGTAACTGGAGGATTGGTGGCTTTTTATCTCTACAACCCAAGCATAAACAATCATGGCAACATATCAACTATATTACCTTTAGAGAAATATCTTGCCTGCCCCCCCCCCCCCTGCCCCTTATTATAGACTTTAGCACTCCTAGTGGTGGTCATGCAAACTAAGTTTAAAGACCAAATCTTCTTACTGCTAATCACCCTTTGGATCATGATGTAATGATTGGCATTCATTCACCCTGGGAGGCAAGCTGTGATATTTTACATTCATTCACCCTGGGAAACAAGCTGTGATATTTTACACTCTTTCAATCACCCTGGGGATCAATCAAGCTATGATTGTGATTATCTTCCAGGTTGTCCAGTTGATGAGTACTGACCTGTTGAGGCATCAGCAGAGGTGGAAGGATGGACTGATGGACATACGGCACCTGATGGCCAACTTAGTGCAACAGGTAAGACCATCTCATTTAATACAGGCAACAATTTGTTACAATGTTGAAATGATTAGGAGGGCAGGATAGAAAATAAAAGCTGTCTTGATTGGCCAAATCTCGATCAACCAATACGCATTTTTGCCTTCTTTCTTGGTGTGAATGGGGTAAATGGGGAACAGACATAAATGTTCTTGGCTAAACAGACGATCAGACTTTTACCTGAGGGCTTATGTTTCTGAGACACACTTTTTAAGACAAATATCACTTACTTGCAATTTGCTCTAGAACTTATTGCAGACAATCAATAATTAAGTCATTGAAGGATTTACACAGGAGAATTTTAGCATTTAATTAAGTAGAATAAGTGTCTTGCTTATATTTTTAATGTATATTTGTATATATTCCAGGGTTTTTCAGCCAGTAACATGACTCCATGGAAGGCTCACTGGGACAGGCAGCTGTACAAGGCTCTGGAACACCAATGCCAGATGGGGCTAGAGGCTCTCAATGAAAACTTACCAGAAATTGTGGTAGAGCTCACATATAGGTAGGCACAGGGGAGGTCTGAGTTTACCCTACCAAACATTTTATATTTGTTAATATCATGATAATATTTTGCTGTGAATGCAGAATAAAATTCAGATTTGGCAGTAGAACTTATTGGTTTGGAGAAAAGTATTTTATGATTGTGAATGATGCAATATTTCTCTGCAGTCAAAACATTCATGTTTTTCATTTTAGACAGCACATTACATGCATATTTCTATTTTATCAAGATTTATATGACCATTTCAGACAACAGCGTCTCCAGTTCAAACCTCCATTTGAGGAGATCAAGGCAAAGTACTTCAGAGAGATGAAGAAATTCATTGGTATCCCCAACCACTTTAAGGGGGTGGGAGATGCCACTGAACACCTCATCTTCCCTACCATCATTGATAGAAACGCGGATGGATTTATCACATGTTACAAGAAAGCTGGTTTATTGTTCAAAAGACTGGCGGCTGTGCAGGAAATGTTCAAGGTATATAAGTCAGTCCTGTGGTTAGAGAAGATACAGAAGTCATTATTGTAAAGTAAATTAAGAATTGACACATAGGGATAAAAGTTTATTAGGTTTATCTGGAAATTCAGATTTTTGTTTTGTTTTTTGTGCCATATAGTCTAACATTTCCGCTGCTATTTCTTTTTGAGTATTTGTTTCATTCATTAGAGAGATGGGACAATATGAGATAGTTCAAATAATAATCATTACTTCTACTGTAATTTATTACATCAATTTTTTCCATATTGTTTATTTTTAAAATTTTGTATAAATGATTTATTTCTTTATTTCTTTACTTATCCATCATCCATCAAGCATTTATTTATCTAGTTATTTTGAGTTATTTATTTATTTTAATTTAATAAATTATTTTATCTTCCAGGACTGGGTGGTATGCGGTGGAGTTGATCTGGATCAGTTTGTATATGATAACCTGGTGGAGCTCAGAGACTGGGAGCAGAACTTTAAAGCTTTAAAGATCAGAGGAAGGGATGCAGAGAAGTTGCCGAGGTAATCAAAAAATATATTTTTTTTTTGCATAAAATTTCTTATTTGTTTGCAGTTAGTACAAAAAAAATTCCATCATGTTCAAAAATTTCTTTGTTTCCTTAAACAAAAACTGATCCAAGTGTATTTGAAACTGGATGAAAAAATTTCTTTGTCTGTCTACTTCATTGTAAGTCTTTAAAATGGAATTTGGGAATCATCTTAGATATAATTACAGATGTAATGACATACAGTGTATGTCACTTTAATTCACCATTTTTCACATTAAGAGAAAATCAACATAAGGAGAATATATAGATAAGTTCTATATTCGATTTTCAGCCAAATCAAGGTAGACTGTATCACAGTGAACACCAACCCTGTGAAGTCCAGCATAGATGACCACATCCAGCGTCTGTTTGATGCTCTGCTGAGTTCCCTACGTAAGGCCATCCATAATGACATCAGCACAATTGATACATTCCTCACCACAGCCATGGAGACCCTGGCCCAGAGACCACAGACAGTGGAGGAGATTGGAACTGCTAATGCCAAACATTCAGAGTTTGCTAAACAGAAGAAAGAGGTGGGTAGTTAGGCCTGGCCTTGGATTTGTTAGCTAAAGAGTATGGATAACATTGTTTCTATGCATTCAAACCACAGAATTAAGGAACACACACATATGTGTACAAAGGGAGAGAGAAAGAGAGAGGCTAAAAAGTAAAGTTATGATATCAAGATTTATTTACCTGGTTGATCATGGCATTTTCAAGTCCAAAAAGTGGAATTTGTTCGTTTTATAGTCTTTCAGTGAATGTTTGACAAAGTGTGACTTTTATTGGTGTGGTTTTAAACAGATATTATCAGTTTAGTTCACAATATAGAATGCCATATCTTTCTTATCAATTTCAACTTATGCTAGTCAGTTGGTTTTCCATCTTAATTTGCCACTCATTATCCCTGTATAAAGTTAGTGTTAATACGCATGTAATACATGATAAACCATGTTGTTTTTCCCTCCAGATCCAGCCCCTGTTTTCCAAGGGTGAGAGTAAGAACAAGTTGCTGAGGACAGTGGCAGGAGGAGGCGTGGAGCAGTTTGGAAACCTGCAGGCAAGGTGGGACAAGTTTGAACTCATGATGGAGAGTTTCCAACTGATGGTCAAGGAGCAGGTGAGGAAGAGGATTTTATAAAATTATTTACTTGCTTGAATTTAGAGGATAGCATTTTGGATATTTGTTTGCACATTATTTCTTATAATAGGTATCGATAGACCTTTGAAAAAAGCATTTATTTTGAATAATTAAAAAAAATACAATAATAGGGAGTGGAAAGGTCAAAACTTTTTAAGTAATAAACTACAATGATGGTAAAAGAGAATATTGAATTTCTTACACTTATCTACCAGTATACATCCTTAGGCTTATATTACTTATCAACTCTGTAGACTTTCACCAAATTCAAACATTACAAAACCAAACATTTTGATATTTGAACTTGTTTGATAATTCAGGTTGAGGTGATGAAGAGTAATGTGGAATCCAGAATCAAGGCGTTTGAGCAGGAACTGGAGAAATTCGGCTCTCGTTGGCACCAGCTGAAACCAGGGGATGACGCCCTGGACGGAGACCAGCAGAAATGTATGGCGGCTGTGGAGTCCATTAAAGAGCGTAAAGCAGAGTTCACAGAACTGGAAAATACTATGAAGACTCTGCAGTAAGTGTGTTCAGATTTTTAAATGCTAAAATGCAGTGTATCTCTGATTATGCTCTTTTTAAAAATTTAATTTTAAGACGAAAATTAAGACATAAGGGTATGACAGATATGCACATGAAGCAATTATTAATTGACTTTGGTAAACTTTTTTTAAATTGATTATAAGGAAATAAAGAATGGAATCAACTCAATGTTTGCAAGCTGTTCTATTTATGTATTTGGTTAATTCAATTTTATTTTGAAAAGTTATGGTAACTTCTTTCTGGTGACAAGTATTCAAAGCAATGACATGTTACAGTGCACATTTATAATTCTTCCTGTGTAGAACTGACTGTGAGCACTTTGACATGGAGATGCCAGAGTTCCCGTATGCTGCAGAGATAGCAGAGGATGTGAACAAATATGAGAGTATGTGGGGGCTGTATGAGGAGTTCAACAATGGGCTGCAGGAGCTCTGCAAGGAGGACTGGATTTCTTTTAGGTTTGTGAAATGTGGAATTGTTTATTTAGGATTTTTGTCAAGACCATTTGGGTAATGATAACATATTCATATTTTAAGGTGTTTGGTCTTGTCATATGTGAAAACATGACAAGTAAGGACTTGTATATATGGAAGTTTATTGAAAAATGGAAATCTTTAACTTCAGTGTTGTAATTCCTAAATTTCCAGGAGTAAAGCATATATGTTTGAGGAGTTTCTTGCTGGGTGGTATGAGAAGTTGAAGTCAGAGGACCCCACCACAATGACAGTTAGACTGCAGAAGGATATTGACAAGTACAAAGTAAGTCTACCTCCTGCCAGGTGATCAAGTATGAATTAAAGGCAGTATAATTGTGAAATTTAAGTTGAAGAGTATATTATGATTGTTCAAGGCAGTTTCAACATTTTAATGACTTATTTAATTATTTATTTATTGTCTAGAATGTGTTACAAGTACTCAGTTCTCTTCAGTCAGAGCTTCTATCACAGATAGCTACAATAAACATGTTTGTGTAAGTCTTAGAATATTTTTGTGTGTTTTTATAGAATGTGTTATGAGCATAGAGGTAGGTTCATTTAGAGTCTCTAACACAGGAACATTGTACAAACAGTATATTTATGTGAGAGTGTATATATAAATACTATATGTTGTAGAATGTGTTACCAGTACTGAAGTGGGTGCGTGGAGAGCCTCTGTCACAGGACCACTGGCTGGAACTGTTCCGCATGCTAGGGATGCCCAAAGGAACCACACTGGAGAAGTTGACGTTTGGTGATATTCTCAGTTCTTCTGATGCCATTATCATCAATGCTACTGCCTTGAAAGTAAGTTTATTTTTAATATATTGAATTATTTTGAGAATAAAATTTACTAGGATTTTCATTTCTCCCTTACTGAGGTGGATTTTCTACCTAAATCCTACAAGTGTATTATTATCCTACAAGTGTACCATTACATATTATTACTGTTTGCTTAATTATTCTGTTGGGCAATTTCACCAGCCACCTTTTTTCAGAAACCATTAGCAATAGCAAGGTTTTAAACCTTTAAAATTATTTACTAATGATTTCAGCTCATGTAGTAGAACTTCTTTAGAACAATTATATTACTAGAACTTTTTCAAACTTTATTTCTCTTTGGTTTAGTGGCAGTTACCAAAAAAAAAAAAAAAAAAGACAATGAGATGGGTTTTACTTATCAAAGATACCAATCAAAATGCAGAGATGTTCACAAAACACCAAATTATTATTTATTTTCAGGAATTAAACCAGCGTGCCCAGGGTGAAGTGACCATTAGGGAGGCCATCAGGGAGCTTGACCTGTGGGGGGCAGGGGCAGTGTTTGCTCTCACAGACTACCAGGACAGTGGCAGTAATAAGATCATGCTCATTAAGGACTGGAAGGACTTGGTCAACGCGGTAAGAATATGAAGAGTGAATTCATTAAGCTGTTTGTACAAAAAATGGATTTATAAATTGGATTGATAAAGATGGATTCAGATTTAACCTGGATTGGTATATCCTTTCCTGTCTTATCCTATAATTCTATCCTATCCTATCCTAATACCTTACTCTATCCTACTCTACCCTGTCCTAAATCCTTTCCTAGTATCCTATGCTGTTCTATCCTGTCCTGTCATATCCTCTTCTGTCATATCATATCCTTTAATCCTATTCTATCCTATTCTAATCTAATTTCCTAAAATCCTATCCTATCCTATCTTCTTCTGTCTTATATTATGGTATCGTCTTCTCAGGTTGGAGACAACCAGTGCCTGCTGCAGTCCCTGAAGGACTCCCCATACTACAAGAGTTTTGAAGACAAGGCCACAGTGTGGGAGACACGGCTGGCAGACCTGGACGAGTATTTACATAACCTGAACCAGATCCAGAGGAAGTGGGTCTACCTGGAGCCCATCTTTGGCCGAGGGGCGCTGCCTAAGGAACAGGGGAGGTTTAAGAGGGTGGATGATGATTTCAGGTCAGTGGCAGCCATCCCCTGTGTGTGTGTGTGTGTGTGTGTGTGTGTGTGTGTGTGTGTGTGTTGTTTAGGTGTCTGATATTTTCAGTAAAAAATTAATACTAGAAGTGTGTTTATGTACAAATAGTTTTATGCAGTACTGTTTTTTGACAAAATGGAACTTGATGTTTTATTCATCTCTTGCACTACATTGCTATAAATTTTTCTCCAACAGAATTAGTATCCTCCTTAAGCTATGTGGTAAATGAAGTATATTTTATTCTATCAGGGCTATCATGTATGATGTTGCCCGTGACAACCGTGTGTTGTCCCTGGTGGGTAAGGTTGGACTGAGGAACCAGTTGGTTACCATGCTGGATCAGCTACAGAGATGCCAGAAATCACTCAATGAATTTCTGGAGGTAAGGAACTATGAAAAGCTATGCTGTCAAGACTAACCATAAAAATGTAGTTTTTTAACAACTGTTTACAGCAGTAATGAATATTATCTCAGCATTTCATTTTCATTGCAAAATAACCATTTAAAATAAGAACTAAATGCAGTATTATTCAACAGAAAAAATGCTCCATTTTCCCAAGACTTCATATTGGTTCCAAAATAACCACTTAAAATAAATGCTAACCTCTTAAACTTGATTTTCTTCAACAGGAAAAACGCTCCATCTTCCCAAGATTCTATTTCATCGGTGATGATGATCTTCTGGAAATCCTGGGCCAGGCCACCAACCCAGAGGTGATCCAGACACACCTGAAGAAACTGTTTGCTGGGATTCACAGCGTGAACTTTGACGATGGCTGCAAACACATTGTGGCTATGAAGTCTTTGGAAGGAGAAGTGGTGCCTCTGAAGAAGAAAGTTCAAATTACCCCAGAGGTTGAGGTACTGTGGAGTTATTAGTCACTTGTCTTTAGTCATTTGTCATCAGCCACTTGCCTTTAGTCACTTTTCATAAGTCATTAGTCACCTTATTAACAGTATTTAGTCTAATTCTTTTCTTGATCAGAATTGAAAATTGCAGTGAAAGAGTTAAAGTGAAAGTGTTACTTTTTTTAGATATTATGATACAGATGGTTGAGGTTTTAATAAAGAATTGTTGATATAGTTAGGAGTTGTATAAATTTGGTTATATGTATGTGTATGTATTTAGTAAAACAGTTTTGTTTCACTGTATTTTATTTATTGGGTATCAAACAGATTTTATATCATATCATATCACAACTTTTAAGCTGTGTGTGTCATTTAACCATTTTTGTTTTCTTTACTTGAATAATAATAATAATAATAATAATAATAATAACTTTACTCTACATTGTGTTAACTTATTCCAGGTTTGGCTGGGATATTTGGCAGAAGAAATGAAGAATACATTAAAGCAGTTGTTGACAGAGTGTCTCAAGGACAGCAAGGCAGGAGGACAAGGAGGACTGGACCCTAACAAATATCCTTCACAGGTTCGTCAGATTTGTGGAAAAGAAAAATTTTTTTTGGGAAAGGCTGATGGAAAACACCTATATTTTATTGAAAATGTGGTTAGAAAAATTGGACAATATTATAGGAAGAGAGCTGGTATCATGTTTACAAATATTTGGGAAAAAGTGTTGGATGTTAGCATTTTCCTAAGATGTAAAGTTTCTTGTAATTGATCAGTTTCCCATTTTCTTTTTCAATGATGTTCACAATAATATGTTTCAAGAATTCATAGGAATGACATCAAATTTATAAAAAGATAACTGAATATGCAAGTCACCATGCTACGCCCTTGTATTCACAGCTTATAAATACGTAAAAGGAGGTTGAAAAATGAATATTCTTTTTCCTTTTACATAACCATAAAATTTCCTTATCATATTATTTCAGATCCTTTGTGCAGCAGAACAGATCAACTTCACAGAGCAATGTGAGGAGGCCATCAAAACCAGCAGCCTGCAAGAGTTCAACATAGAAATGGAGAACAAACTGGAATCTTACACTGGGGTCGACCTTAGTGCAGCAGGGAGTGATGTGGGTGTATATGTACTTGAACTGAAGCTGAAGGCTTTGATCCTGGACACCATCCACTCTATTGATGTGATACAGCAACTGGTTGAAGCTAAAACAAGGAATTTGGAAGACTGGCAGTGGCAGAAACAGCTTAGGTGAGAATTCCGAGTGACACTTGTATAGTACTTCAAAAAATATACCAAAGACGTAATTTCCAGACATATGACATACATATATATTCTGCTTAGGCATAAGCCAAGCTTACTAGTTTTTGAGGAAGAAAAAGGTCCTATCCACAGCATATGTAACAAACCAGACTCTCAGTACACTTATAAACACCATTCTTTGATTCCAGATACTACACACGCAGGGATGGTATATGTGTGATGCGTATGGTGGATGCGGAGTTTGAGTACACCTACGAGTACCAAGGCAATGCAGCCAAGCTTGTCCACACCCCTCTCACAGACAAGTGCTACCTGACTCTGACACAAGGTAAATACTTCACAAACAACAGGAATGTACACGTTCTTTTGTCAATAGGTTTTCTTAAGCAAAGAATTCAACTTTATACTTCACAAGCCAATATTCATCTAGCTACATTCAGACTTCTTCAGGCTATATTACATTTCTGTTGAAATTATGTGGCTGATGAACATTTAAATAATAATATATATTTTCCAGCAACCAGTTAAAGGTATTGGTTTATATTCCAGGTATGCACCTTGGTCTTGGTGGTAACCCATATGGTCCTGCTGGTACAGGAAAGACAGAGTCTGTCAAAGCTCTTGGAGGGCTGTTTGGGAGGCAGGTCCTGGTCTTCAACTGTGACGAGGTGACTTATATAATTTATCTTAAAAAGGTTATAGTAATGACCCCATGAGAGAAAGAGAGTAGGGAGGGATTTAAATGAATTAATTTTGCTGCTTAGTTCAGTATGGACATGACTTCAAGCAAAACATTTGTCCTGTATCACAAGGTATTTACTATTAACTTAGTTTGCCTGTCACTATTGGGATATAGCTATTGAAATGCATCATGGGATTCATTGAAAACATAAATAACAAATACAATATATATTAGGTTGATTGATATTTGGCAAGTTAAGGCAGATTTTGCTTAATAACATGCTAAACTGAAATGAGATTATGATTTTTCCTTAAACTATTGATCAGGTAATAAGATTGGTAATCAGTATGCTTGTTTTTCCACACACTCCAGGGCATTGATGTGAAATCTATGGGCAGAATCTTCATAGGTCTGGTGAAGTGTGGAGCCTGGGGCTGCTTTGATGAGTTCAACAGACTGGAGGAGGCTGTGCTGTCTGCCATCTCTATACAGATCCAGATCATTCAGGACGCCATCAAGGAAAAGAAGCCCACGGCAGAACTGCTGGGGAGAAATGTGAGTGTGAAATTTTCAATTGGCTTATATAGAATAAAGTAGTGTTGTAGTAATCATTGATCACATTATCAAACAAACTGAGTTCATGCAACCAAACAGCAAATATTACATTATGTCAATATTTAAATAGGATGCAGATCTGCCAGCCTTAGTCTGGCAAATTTCTTGACAAACTATGGATGCAGCTTCATAGTCACAGTTAAACCTAGTATTCATGTGATGCAAAAAAAAAAAAGCCAAGCACATTATCTGCCTTAATAATAGGCAGAATATACTTGAACAGCAAAGGTGAATTGAAACATTTAGTTTATATCATTTTCTTTTCTTATCCCAAGGTGGACATTGACTTTAACTCTGGCATCTTCATCACACTCAACCCTGCAGGGAAGGGATACGGAGGAAGACAGAAGTTGCCTGACAACTTGAAGCAGCTTTTCCGTCCCGTTGCTATGGCCAGACCAGACAATGAGCTTATTGCAGAGGTGATCCTGTTTTCTGAAGGGTTCAAGCATGCCAAGAGTCTGGGGAGAAAACTGGTGGCCGTATTTAACCTTTCCAAGTAAGTTTTGTATCTCTAGTCTGATGTTAACATTACTAGTTTAAAGTTAATGCTTAAAATGTTTTATTACTGCTACAAAATTTTGATAATCCAAAGTAGCATCAGATTAACTCTATTTCTGCTTATAAAGCTGATGTTTTAAAGGAATTTTTTTCTATAGCTTTCATAATTTTATGGGCATCAAAAGAGTAAATGATCCTAAAGCGCAAATTTTCACAAGCATATGACTGGTGTTAAAATGTAAGATTTCAGAATTTTATATTAAACTGAAAATATTGATATTCTGTCCTCTTTATCCTAGAGAGCTGTTGACGCCCCAGCAGCACTATGACTGGGGGTTGAGAGCACTGAAGACTATTCTCAAGGGCTGCGGCAACCTGTTACAGACAGCAAAGAAAAATCTACAGGAGGGAGGTGAGCTTGACATATTTTTTTACAAAGTTTCATTATTTCATCAAAAATCCAAGGCAGAATCTCACAAACAGTGTCTCTCCTCACAGTCCTGAGAATAAATAATGTTCACTAATTTTTAAATTTCTTGTCCTTTTCAGAAAAAATCACGGATGCCATTGAAGCCAAGCTGGTAGTGCAGGCACTAAGGATCAACACGTTGTCTAAGCTGACCTTCTCTGACAGCATCAGGTTTAACTCCTTGTTGAAGGATGTTTTCCCAGGCACAGAGTTTAAGGACATCGAGTATGAGAACTTGGCACAGGCCATCAGGGAGGTCTGTAAGGAGAGGAACCTTGTCGTTAACGAGAGTCAGGTAAGTTGAGATTTGAAAGTCACACATTTAGCATTGGAACCTTTATTGAACATACAACAATTTTTTTTTTGATTTATGAGTTCAAAAAAATGCAATTTTCACAATTCTGCATGACTTGTGATGTTGGGAATACACACCTTCCTTATTGTACTTGGTATTAAAAACAAGGCCCTTTTGTATCAATAGCTTCATATAATTATTAATACATAATGTGCAGCCAACACTCATGCTCTTTCTCCATGATGTTTTACCTATAATGGCTTTGCCTTACACACAGGTGAAGAAAGCCCTGGAGTTATACGAGCAGTTACGTCAGAGGATGGGTGTGGTGGTGGTAGGCCCCAGTGGGTCTGGGAAGTCCACTCTGTGGAGAGTGCTCAAGGAGGCCATGTTGAAGTGTGGTCAAGTGGTGAAACAGTACACTATGAACCCCAAGGCTATACCAAGAACACAGGTGATTGGAAAATAATAGGCTGGGAAATACATGAAGAAATAATTGTTTACACTCTTTTTTATTTTTATTTATTTATTTATTTATTTGGTAAAATCATTGAGTTGAGTTTTTTAAACAGTTTTTTACATCTACTACATTACACAGTTTCAAATAGTTGCTAAATGATATGCTGTTTAAGTAAGTCTTAATAACAGATGTGTAAGAGATCGATGATATAGCAGTAGTAGTAGTAGTAGCAGCAGTTGCAGTAGTGAAACTTTTTGTGGGCTAAAGCATAGAAATATGAAATTTATCTTGAAGTTCCTTGTGTATGAAAAAAATCACATCTTTTTTTTTTTAATTTGAGTGCTTTAACTATGATTTTTCTTTCCAGTTGCTGGGTCATATAGACATGGACACCCGTGAGTGGACAGATGGGGTGTTAACATACAGTGCCCGTCAAGTTGTAAGAGAGCCACAGGGTAACTCAAAACTATACACCTTACAATCTTAATCAGGTGCAAAGTAACAGTACTGTTTTCAGGCCTATGCATGGATATATCTTTGTTGGGATTTTGAAGAAAAAGTGCCTAAATCTGCTTTCCCTTTCAGTGCTGTGTAATGATAAAATCTACAATAATAATCATGAAACAGCCTGAATAAACTGCTTGTATGTGAAGAAAAATAGTGCATTTTATTAATTAAAAAGTGCAGCTTACATATAAAATTCTTAACCAGTAATGTTTATAGAATCTTGGCAGTCATTTAAAAGATATTACTTCATTTCCAGAAATCCAGTCCTGGATTATTTGTGATGGTGACATAGACCCAGAATGGATCGAGTCCTTGAACTCTGTCCTTGATGACAACCGACTGCTAACAATGCCCTCTGGTGAGCGTATCCAGTTTGGGCCAAATGTGAACTTCCTGTTCGAGACCCATGACCTTAGCTGTGCATCACCTGCCACCATCTCTAGGATGGGAATGATATTTTTGAGGTAAAAACTTGCAATGAAAATGTTTTGATTGAAATGGAAGGAAAATAGTAATTTTAGAAAATTATTAGACTAAGAGTTTAGTTTTCAGTTTTTGGTAAGGATTTATGCTGAACCCTACTACCACATTTTGAAGTTACTTTTTGACCATAAAGTAATTTTACAAAATTGACAATTTAAAGGTTTGTAAGTACAAAATCTACTTGTTTGTTCTGTACATAAACAGTCTATACCATCACTGAAGCTTTGATTCCTACAAAATTGTTGATGTAAATTTCTTATTTGTTCATCTGTAATAGTCCGGTTGCTTAGGGCAAAAAAATGGCCAAATCGTGACACGGCGGATAAAAGCACCAAATTTTGCATGTGGGTACCTTTTGACATACTAAATCAAATTAGAGCCGTAGCCCACGGAAAAAAATTACCGTTTGGCCAAAAAATCCAAAATGGCCGCCAATTAGTGAAATTCTGTAGAAATATACACATACCTATGTTGATTTTTATCAAATTAAGTATTTTCTCAATGTTTTCCACATCCTTATTACCCATATTATGCATATGTGTCAGGTAACAAAGTAGTGTCCTTGGACTTTTTGAAAAATCCAAGATGGCCGCCATATGGCATAGGAATACTAGATCTTGTACACAGGTTTTCAACTAACTAATGCCAACTAGGAAGATGCATTGCCCACTATCTAATTGTTTCTTATTACACAAATAATATTTTTGTGGTGAGTAACTAACCTTTATTCTCAGGCATTTCGAGAAAAATCCAAGATGGCCGCCATATTAAAGGAATACTAGTATACACAAAGGGCTTCTTCTGCCATGGAAATATAATATTAATTGATAAATTAGTTTTGTTTCTGAGTATTTTCCACATCTTTTTAATTCACATAATATATATATGATGAGAATGTTATCTGTATCCTTTTTGAAAAGAAAACAAAACAAAATGGCTGCTATTAGCCATAGAAGGTGGGGTTCAGTTAATACCTGCGGGAGATAGGCTTACATATAAAATGAAGCTGAATTCAATTGTTATTCTGTTTTTTTTTTTTTTTTTNACCGGACTATAATATGCTCCCGACATTTCTTGCTACTCTCAGTGATGAGGACACAGACATCAAGGCCTTCATCACCTCCTGGATGAACACACTACCAGAGGCTGAGCAGAAGACACTGGCTGGGTGGATAGAAGACTACTTCTATAAGGGAATGGACTGGGTACTCAAACAGGTACTAATTATGCTTTTTAGGAAAACTCTTTTAGAGCTGTGGCGTTATGGGGGTGAATGTTATAGCAAAATGCTTAAGCCATTAATTGACTTATTATTATTATTTGTATTTTTGTCTTTGAAGAAATATTTTGTTCCAATTTTTTTTTTTTTTTTGCTTATAGAAGAAAAATAGTTTTTCAGAAGACTTAATAAGACCTTTCAAGACCAAACTATCAGTAAACAAAATCAAAACAATATATGATAGTATTTCAGAAGAATTCTCTTAAAAGTTTTCATCTATGTCAGGCCTTTTAAGGATGTCTGAATCATATTAAGACCAAACTGTTATAAGATAATATCAAAATTGTAATAATAATAATTTCTCTACCAGGGTGACTTTGTGGTGGAGACTACCCTGGTGGGTGTGGTCATGAATGGGCTGTCCCATCTCCATGGCGTCCAGGACAAGACCCACTTTGCTGTCTCTCTCATCAGAGGACTGGGAGGCAACCTCAGCGAGGCCACAAGAGAGGCTTTTGCTAAGGAGGTACTGTGTTTTTGTCAGTTGTAATTGTATTGAGTTGTACTTCTTGGTTATAGATTGTGTAAGTATATGGATGAATGAGTGAATATATAAAGAGAAAGGTAAAAGAATTACTAAATAAATGATAAATAAATATAAGAATTATACTTTTTTTTTATGCTAGATTTCTTTAAAACCATATTCCCACCAGTGTCTTAAGATTAGAAAAAATAAATGAAAACTATAGTGTAAAAACATTTTACTAGTCATGGTTTGGAACTGATGATTTCACTATGGTTCAGGGTATTGTAAATCAATTCTTAATGTGATTGTCATTGGTCAGGTATTTGCCTGGACCCACGAGACCCCCCCTGACCCACGGCGCCCCCTGGACACCTACTATGACCCCAGCAGTGGACGCCTCATGTCATACTCTGTGGAGGTAAGGAGAGGAGTTGAAGGTTTCCTGATTTACTATTGGCTAATTAATAAATTATGTGTACACCTTTGCCGTTTGGTGTTCTGCACCCATATTTGATATTTTATTGTATATTTTAGTGTCATTTTGATAATTTGAAGGGGATATAAAAGTGCACGAAAGAAAAGTTATGAATACAAACAGAGACAAGTCATGCATGCAATATTTCATAAGATTTGAAATCGGAAATCATGGAAAACTTTCTGCAAGAGGTTTTTATAAATCACAGTAATTAGGTGTAGTTAATATGAATTTGATGCATGCTAGAAACAGCATGATTTAACATGTAGAGTTGTGACAAGTGAGGAAGTAAATGAATGCTTCAGTAGAACAGTATGTGTAGTAAAACATGTACATCGCTGGGTAGAGTCTGTTGTTTGAACTGCTCCCAATGCTAGTGGTCTATTCTCTAATCAACTAGTATTAAAGGCTTCTAAGAAACATAAAGCAAAATGCTATAACTCAACTATCAAATGTCTATAAGCCTGAATTTGGTGCAATTGTTGTAGTTAACCTTTCTTTGAAATTGTAATGAATATCCAAATTTATCTTCACTTTTTATAGCCAAAGGTAAATAATCTACTATATTTCTTCTGACTTTGGTTTTACTCAAAACAAAGCATGCTTCTGAACAGTTCCCATTGCAAGCTTGACTCCCGTTTTTCATAGCATGTCCATATTTATATATACTGTACATTCTCTATTAAGCTTAGACCTTCCATCCCAGAATATTTTGTGCGCATGTACTAATCATAATGTATAAAATTGTGAATGGCCAATGTTTCTGCATGCTGCTATTGGTGTGCTTGGTTTTGGTTGTTACTTAAATCTTCTGTATGATGACATCAGATGGCGTTGTGTGTTGACCCCATTTCTTGCATGACTCAGCAGTTTTATGAGCACTGTTTGATGGTGTTCTGGCGCCACCTAGTGTTTTAGCTGTATGTTTTGTGCACATGCTGCCTCTTTTTAGGATTGCAATGTCCAAACATATTAAGAAGGACCTAGCAACAACCTCCTGCATTACATGTGCATTTGCCTGTGTAGATGCATATGTTACTTCCTCTGCAGTGCAATATCCATGCATTGTGTTTAAAAGCTAACCGTGCCTTCCTTTTGCAACACATATGCATTTGCCTTTACAAATATTCCTGTAGATAAATTTCTGGCAGTTTTGAAAATGGCTTCAAGCAGTGAGATGTCAGTTTCACTTGTCCATTTGTCATTAGGCATTTTCTAACTTGTATCATTAAGTGGAACTTTGGTATACAGAGGCAATGAAAAATGAAAACGTGTATTCTTTAATTGTACTAAAACCTTCACTCTATTTAAATTCATTTCTACATTGATGTCCACATGGCAGAAAATACATTAAGGAAAACAATTTTATTTGAGTCTCATGTTACACAATGGAATAAAATAATACTGTAGTTGCTGTAAGACTTTAACTAATCATTTGCAAAATAACATTTCCATACCATGTCATATTAAACTTAAAAAATTTACTCTGCTTTAGCTTGCAAGCCGTCTCCGTTTTTGTTAGCTGTATATAAGTATTGCCTTTCTATTTCTGCTATGTCAGCTACGAGATGATCTGACAGCTGACAACTTCACCAGTTCCGCCAACCTTCCTGTAATCAAGACAGGGGATATACAGAGAGGTCTGGACTACTTCGCTCCCTGGCTCAGTGCTGAGAACAAGCAGCCATTTATATTGGTGGGACCTGAGGGGTGTGGGAAAGGGTGAGTGATAGGGCTATGATTTGTTTGTTTATCTGTTTATTTATTTTTGTTTGTTTGTTTGTTTGTTTGGGGGGGGGGGGTGCCAACATTTCTGACAATATCTTCATAGTTCTGTATTTTTGGTGAATTTGGAAATTGTAAAAAGTACATGAATGTGCTCTAGTATGCCTTTCTTGATATTGGTTTTCTCTGTAAATGTGATGTGTAAGAAATTCAAGTATATACAGATTCTATCAGAAATTTACAAAGAGAGGTTTGAAAGTAGCACTAAATTTTAATTTATTTTTTTATGTGAAAGTAAACTATGCTTACCACAGGGTAAATAACATGATTTTTGTTCCTATTCAGGATGTTGCTGAAGTACTGCTTTGAACAGCTGCGGTCCACCCAGATAGCCACCGTCCACTGTAGTGCCCAGACCAACCCCACCCATGTGCTACAGAAGCTGAACCAATCCTGTATGGTGATAAGTACCAACACTGGCCGTGTCTACAGGCCCAAGGACTGCGAGAGATTGGTTCTCTTCTTGAAGGACCTCAACTTACCCAAACCTGACAAGTGGGGAACTAGTCAGCTCATTGCATTTTTGCAGCAGGTGAGAGTTGGCAAAATTCTGGGAAATTTTCAGATTTTTTTTTTTTTTTGAAATTTTAATTTGAGATAATTGGTTAGAAAAAGTCACCTTAATCGTAACAGACAGGTTTATTATATTTTTTCATCTTCAACATATTTTTTATGTCTTATAGATGCTCATATTTTAGGTAACTTAATAAGACTGCTAACTTGATTTTAGGTCACATGGAAAATGCAGATATAAAGAAATTGAATTACGAAAAGATTCTCTTTTTATTTGCAATATTGATATATAGGAGCTGAATTACAAATAGTATTGTTCTGTGTTTTTCCACACAGGTATTGACCTACAATGGGTTTTATGACAGCAACCTGGAGTGGGTTGGTCTGGAGGGAGTACAGATAGTAGCCAGCATGAATGGAGGGAGCACACTGGGACGTCATCAACTGTCCACCAGGTTTACCTCTGTGGTCAGGATATGTGCCATTGGGTATGTAAGAAAATGTATGGTCATTAAAAACCAAATAAAATCAATTTAACAATGATAATAACTGTTGGATTTGAATTGCAAAACACCCAACATTAAGGTTTTGAATGATAACTTAAAACCTGCCAGGGAGTTCTCAAACACACACATGGTAATACACACTTCCTCTTTATCTTCCAGTTACCCCGAGAGAGAGCAGTTACAGGCTATCTACAGTGCTTACCTGAAGCCTGTACTCCACAAACAGCTGTCCAGACACCCTGTATGGGGTAATCCAGCTAAGGTCCATGCCCTGGCTGGCTCTATGGTACAAGTTTATGAACAGGTAAGTTAGGAGGTCATTGTGTTAGTTGTGACATTGTGTTGGGTGTGATTGTGTACAGGAAGGATTGGGTGTGCTGGCGGTTTAGTCCTATTAGATATTAAATTGTGCAGTGATTGTGACACCAAAAATTCAAGATCAAATGAAAAGCTAAAATTTGTGAAGCCTATAAAATTATATGATTCAAGGTCAAGTCAAAAGCTAAATATTTTTTGTGAAGCCAAAGATTTAAGATCAAGTGAAACACTAGATATTTTGCTAAAAAAAGAAAATGTTAATCTGGCATTATTTCAAGAGGTTGAATTAAAAATAACAATTTACTTTTGTCACTACTCACTTAGTTACGAGGCAAGTTTTCGGTGGATGACTACAGCCATTACTTATTCACGCCGCGTGATCTAACTCGCTGGGTTCTGGGTCTGCTACGCTATGACATGATTGCCAGTGACACCAGTGTGAACCCAGTACTTGAAGTGTGGGTTAATGAGGCCAGGCGGCTGTTCAGAGACAAGATAGTGGGTGTGGATGGACTGAGTAGGTTTGATAATATCCTCATGTCGGCTGTCCAGGGAGATTGGGGCGTCAGCGGTATGGAGGGGATTGAAGGTAGGCTTCATGTCTCTCTCTTGTAAATAATTATATGAAATCATTTTATGAATTGACATTGATAATAATAGTTATATTTTTTCAAATGATGTATTAGATATACATTAGAAACTAATTTCTGTCATGAGCTCTTAGAACAAGCATGATGATGTTAAGGGTATGTTATAAACATAAATTATGACTGAATTATGCTTTCTACATATGAAAAAAATTTACTGATGTTAGGAATAATTTTGGAATATTTCTAATAACTAAATATGTTAATCTCATTTGATCACCTAGGCAACTACTATGTGACTTGGGGTGGTCACCATGATGCCTCCGCCCCTGCTGTGGCCCCTGGGGCTCCCCTGCCACCCACGGGGAAACCCTTGGGGAAACTGAGCGGGGACGACTTCAAGAGTGTTATACAGAAAGGACTTTTGCAATACTGTGAGTATGAAACCCTTTCAGAATGAAGTCTAATATTGTTATCGGTTAGATATTTCTTTTGGAAAACCAAAAATGTTACATAGTGTCTCATAGTTATGTTCTGTGAGAATGTTAGATGATTTAATCAAGTTTAAGCAGTGGGTAAAGGAAGTTAACTTTCACCAAAAGTATGGTAAATTTATTGGTGAAATTACTAATTTACCACATGTGCATTTATCTATGCTAAACTTTTGTAAAATGTCATACAATCATTAGCAGGAACACTCAGCAAAATCTCAGAATATCAGTATAACTATGTACATTCCCTTCCTCCAGCTCGAGAGAACAGAGATTTGAATGTGATCATCTTCAAGGAGGTCCTTGACCACATGGCAAGACTGGACAGAGCTTTAAGCACGCCAGGTGGGTCACTGCTGATGGCGGGCCGGAGTGGTGTGGGCAGGCGGTCAGCAGTCACTCTGATCTCATTCATGCATCAACTGGAGCTGTTCTCACCTAAAGTGGCCAGAGGATACGGGCTGAAGCAGTTTAAGACTGATTTGAAAACGGTGAGGTTTTGCGTAGATAGTTTTGTGTAGTTCAGTTATAACTGTTCTATGTATGTTATGCTGACTTTTCCATTTATTTACTTCAATCTCTACTTTTTCCTCTTGCTTATTTTAGATTTCCTTCACAATGCTGTAAATCTTCAAGTTAAAGTTATAATATGTTTTTCATATTTTATATCAATGCAGAATTCTATTTATTATTATATCTAGTGTAAAAAATAGAAAAGAATAGAATAAAATATTATAAAAGTAAACCACCATTATTATCTCTGTAAGTCAGTGGAATACTGCTGAAAACAGATGATATATTGTTTAAATGATACATTGTTATGATAACAAATCTATAATAAACCACATGTGTACTGTACAGGTGATGCAGAAGACAGGTATAGATGATGAGCAGGTGGTGTTACTCCTGGAGGACAATCAGCTGGTGCACCCTGCCTTCCTGGAGCTCATCAACAGCCTGCTCTCAGCAGGAGAGGTACCTGGCCTCTACACCCCTGAGGAGCTGGATCCCCTCCTGGCACCCCTCAGAGACACGGCATCAGAGGCCGGGTACAGGGGGCCACTGCATGGGTACTTTGCATCACGTAAGTATAGTTTTTTTAACATGTTCCTGAATTTATAGTTGTTGGAGCCCCTTCTGGAACCCCTCAGGGAAACAGCATTAGAGGCCCAGTTAAGTATGTATAGCATTAGAGGTCCAGTGAAAGGGTCACAACATTAGAGGTTCGGTGAAAAGGGCACAACATTAGAGGTTCAGTGAAAAGGGCACAACATTAGAGGTTAATGAAAGGGGCACAACATTAGAGGTCCAGTGAAGGGGGTACTTCTTAGGTAACCCAAAAAACCAGTAAGTGGTAAAATCAATAGTAATACATGCAGGATATGTCTATTGTATTCAGGTATCCAGGCCAACCTCCATGTGGTTCTCATCATGGACTGTACCAATGCTAACTTCAGCATGAACTGCCAGAGTAACCCGGCCTTCTACAAGCAGTGCAGTGTCCAGTGGATGGATGGCTGGAGCAGGGAGTCCATGGTCAAGGTACACAACCCAGTGGTCAGAGTATTACACCCCATTCTCATAGATTAGATCGACCTACATTGGATCGACCTAACTCCCTGGGGGTTCACGCTAAATAGCTGTCAGCCGGGCGGACACGAAAGTTAATTACCCCTTAAAGCTTGTAGTAGGCGGGGACGGACACTTAAGGGGGATTATCTGACAGTAATCTAGTGAGACTCCCCGCGGTGATAGATCGATCTAAAAGTTGTGAGAACAGAGCCTTACACCCTTGTTATGCAATATGATGCATGGTTTATTTCATACATGTCTAGTACAGACTTTCTGAGGTAGAGAAATCTGGAGATTTTCAAATTTCAAAAACAAATGATAGTAAATAAACAAAATAGATAAATAAATAAATAAATGAATATATAAATAAATAAATAAATGGAGTTTTGGTCAAAATCCATGGGCTTCCAGTCCAGCCACTGTTAAGCTTTTACGTGACCACACCATGCTTTGGTTGCTTTGGTTCAGACACCTTATTTTTTATTGTGATAATGGCAAACTCATTCTGAATGGCAAAACCTCCTCCTTGAGTTCACTTTGCTTCGAATATGTGCAGAGTGGATAACTGATGGCCAATGATATCTTTTCAGCTGCCCCACCTCCTTCTCACACAAGGACCAAAGATGGAGGGCTCCTCCATGTCTGAACCCAAGGAAAGAAAAAGAAAGTTGTCTGGTGGGGATGAGTTACTGAAAAGTTTCCTCCACATCCACGAGTCATGTGAAGTGTTTGGAACTGCCACTCCCAGGCGCTATGTGTCATTCCTGCATACATACATGCAAGTCTACAACAACAAGAAAAATGTCATCGCAGAGAGGCAACATCATGTTCAGGTGTGTTGAAATTAATATAAAAATTAATAAAAAATTTTGAAATGGAATTTTAACTGTAAATATTTTTACTTACTGGGGAACAGTTTGAAAGTGGCTTGTATTACAGTCTGACTGGGATGACACTCAGTTGTGGTTATAATCACCTTGAAGGACACAGCATTTTTCACCTGTTCTCAAGCTGCAAAAACCATTCAAATGGTTTTTGATTCTGTACTGGGCAATTTTATTGTAACTAACTTAGCTGGCATACAGCATTTATCATTTAAAACTGAAAAAAAAGCAAAGTAGTTCTAGTTTTTATACTGAGCTGTGTGAACTTTTGTAGGCTGGTGTCTCAAAGCTTAACGAGGCAAAATCCATGGTGGATGACTTAAAGCACAAAGCAGCCGAACAGAGTAAATTGTTGGCAGAGAAAACAACAGAAGCTGATGCTGCACTGAAGGAAATAACAGAGAGAATGTCTGTGAGTGCAGTTTATTACTCTCCACTGAACACTTTTTATATATAAAAATAGTGCTGAAGATTTTTCACATTTAGTTAGATTTTTAAACATAATTTGGAGATTTTTAAAATTATAATTACATTAATTTTTTATGTACTTCGAGGCTTGCTATTTCAAATACATTGCAACTTCATCAAATAATGATTAAATAAAAGAATTCAACCATGTTCACATATAAAGATTTTACAGTTAACTTATGTGTTTAAAATGACCATATGCCAAAAGAAAATTTGAAAGTTATACTAATTATCCTTCAATTTGCCTTAGAATGCCAGTGAACAGAAAACCGAGATGGAACAAATCAAGGCACAGGTGGCAGAGGAGAACATTAAGCTGGAGCAGAGGAAGAAAGCCATAGACATTGAGCTCTCAGAGATAGAGCCCCTGGTGAGGGAAGCCAAGGCCGCAGTGGGGAGCATCAAGACAGAGCAGCTGTCTGAGATAAGGGCTCTGAGAGCTCCCCCTGATGTGATTAGGGATATCTTGGAGGGAGTTCTTAAGTTGATGGGAATTAACGATATGTCTTGGAATAGTATGAAGAGGTGGGTACCTGCACATGTTGAAATTATTCTCTCTCTCTCTCTCTCTCTCTCTCTCTCTCTCTCTCTCTCTCTCTCTCTTTTATAGGAAATATGCAATAATTTTTGTCAACATTTACACTTGTTGCGCATATTTGATGTCATTATTATACCAGATATAGGAATGAATAGGCACTGACTTTCATTTTTAGTTTCCTTGCCAAGAGAGGTGTCAAGGAAGAAATACAGCAGTTTGATGCTAGGAAGATCACACCAGATTACAGGAAACTGGTGGAGGAATTACTGGATAAGAGGAAAGAATCTTTTGACCCAAAGGTGAACCTTTGTTTAGTTTTACTCTATTTGAATGTTCCCAAAATTTATGGCTTAACCTTTCATGTAGATTGTTGTGTCTCTGACAGGGTAAAAGATGATAAGATATTGAGATAGGTTTGATGCTATTTATCAGCTCATTTTCACATTTTGCCAATCTTTGTTTACTAGAATGCCAAGAGAGCGTCTGCTGCTGCAGCTCCACTGGCCAGCTGGGTCCGAGCCAATGTGAAGTTTTCTTACGTCCTGGAGAAAATTGAGCCTTTGGAAACAGAACAAAGACACCTTCAAAAGTAAAAAAAGAAGTTTTGTTTCAAGTAGATATGTGAATAAGATGGCATTGAATTTTTTGAGCTAATTGTTTACAATGACAGCTGTATTGAAATGACGTGATCTTGGTTAATCACTATGAATATGAACTTTTTTTACTATTGTAATTTTTATCATCTCAAATGCCAAGAAAGAAAATACAAATTAAAACATTTATATCTCTTCTTGATTCTTCATCACACAATCATAGAAGTGGTTAAGATTATAACAGATGGGTCGAAAGATGTTACAAGGAAAAGACAATTCTGAATACTTCTTAATTTATCCACTTTGAAGAACAAACTAAAGCTTCATGTATTTAACGAATATGTACTCAATAAACCGTGGTATTTTAGGAACCTTGAGAAAGCCGAAGCCAAGCTGGCCAAGCTGCAGAAGGCACTGAGTGAAGTGGACCAGGAGGTAGAACGGTTGCGAAACAGGTTTGAGAAGTTCACGCGAGAGGCAGAACACCTCAAGATAGAGCTGGAGAAAGAAGAGAAAACGATTGAGGATGCTGAAAACTTGGTGGGAAAACTAGATGGAGAGTATAGGAGATGGAATGATCAGGTTTGTATGAGGTTAAATGCTTGGTCATATTATTACAAAGGTTTGAAAAAACTGAAATAAAGTGTAAGTGGTGGCTGAAAAGAATAGTTTTGTGATATTATAATAGTGCAGATTTGCTGGAACACATTTTTGAAATATGTCAATTATTCACATAAAAAAATTTATGATAATTTGGGTTAGGAAAGTATCTGAAACCAGTGAGATGTTTCAAATACTGAAATGCATTTGTGGCATGGGCAAATTGATTTAAATTTAAATTTATTTAAAGTCAAAATTATAAAATCAACTTTCAGTCTTATTCACCTAAATTGTAATGGAGCAATTACAATTTTATATCATATAAAATTTTATATATTATATTATATTATATTATATTATATTATATTATATTATATTATATTATATTATATTATAACAGCAGTAGAGACAATGTATCATATCTGATGAAAATTATGAGTACTCATTCTTAAATCATTTCAAATTTGTTTCTGTTAGGTTGGTGAGTTGACAGCAGAATTGGGTGAGCTGCCAATGCGTGCCCTGCTGGCATCTGCTTTCATCAGTTACCTGTCAGCTGAGCCAGAGGATGTACGCAGGAATATGCTTCAACAGTGGATGGACATGGCAGGTAGGTGGGGTGATTTTTTTTCTTTATAATGGAGCTTTCTGAGATGGTACCTTACCCCAGCACAATTGGACAATCCTTGTATGCTGCATCAAAGTTGTACTCAAACACTGGTGTAATGTATGATTAAGCCTGTGTCTGCATGGAACTGCAATGAAATGAATATAAAGTGGCTCCTTTTGTGGAAAAATGTTTGAAAAAATAACACAACAGAGTAGATGACTTGTCTGGAAAATGGTACAAAATAAACTGGACATGGCTGAGAAATAAATGTTGATTTGTTTATGTTAAATGAGTCTATTCATAAAGAAATGAAAAACACACTGCACTTGTAAATAATAATGTTGGGCATGCATTTAATTAAACTGTAAAAGGATTTATCAGCAATTGTATTTGTCTATTTACAGGAGTAAAAGGTTTTGACATGCGTCGCTTCTTAAGCACAGAGAGTGAGCAGCTGATCTGGAAGGGTGAGGGTCTCCCTTCAGATGACCTGTCCATGGAAAACGCTCTGGTCATTCTTCAGGTGAGAAACTCACCCTCACTAATCATATACATTGTGTAGTACTGTATATAACTTAAATTAGTAGGACCTATTTCTTACCTATCTTGCTGCTGACAGGTTGTACAGCATTCACGAAGAGAAGAGTTGAGTTTGTACAATTAAATCATCTACACGAAAGTGAAAGTTGCTCCTTTTAAATACTACAGTCACATGTGCAGGGTTCATGTAGAAAAGTAAATGATTGTTTTAATGCTAGTATAAGATAACTAGGCTCCTCTTATTTATTATTTAGTATTCTGTTTATATTCTGTATAAATTCAAAATGACATTACATATGTGTTTTCAACCTTGTTCTTAGTAGCCAAGAGAAGTGTAGATTCTTAGCTGCTGAATTTTTAAAGACTTATAGCTGATGTAGCTCTGTTTTTCTTTGCCTCATTTTTTGGACTTTAGATTAATAACATAGCAGCAGGGGTAAGACTTGAAGGGATTTTTTTTTGGTGGAAGAGGTCTAGTGCAGTCTGAGTGTGTGAATCTGTTTCTTTTGTAATTCTTATTTTAATGATGTGGTTTTGGTTGAAGATATTGGTATATATCAGTTCCTATTCTGTTTTTTTTTTATCAGTGATACAGTAAATGTTATTTCTTTGCACTCCTTGTATATTGTATTGGTGATTTGTGGATTGAGTTTTGTGGTGTTTTATTTGCGTCAAGTCTGCTGTACTTATGTTCCTGTATCAACACAGTATCACATACCACACAAATGTGAAAATGTTTAAAAATTCATAAAATAAGGATTTGTGTACAAGTGTGTTCCTTTATCACTTAAAAGATATAATTTTAATGTAACTGTCTAAATGATAACCAGTTCAATTTCCAAATTAATCAAATGTCCCCTGTAGTGATGGTTTTATCCCCAAGTCTTCTCATCCTCTGGCTGTATGTATTGTGTGGGAGTGTTGCAAATGTTGGGTCTGATGAAAATGAACTTGTATTACATGAGCACTGAGAATCACAATTCTATAAAACTCTACTTGAGGACAACAGGCACATGGCAGGTTGCATATTGAACATTACACCCCCTATCACCAACTAACCATTGCCAGTATATTGCCTTCTGCATGTATGGTAGCTGCTTAAAAAGACTTTCACTAACTTTGGCCAACCTTTTTAGGCCTTCAGGCCTTTCTCTCTTTGCTAACTGAGTTAGTGGCAGAAAAAGAAAAGAAAAGAAAGACAAAAAGTCATCCTGTATCCTGCTTAGTCACACTCACACCACCCTGTCAAAACTATACAGCACTTAAGGGGACCTAGAAGGCACATTTTCAGTATAGCTGTGGCCTGCAACAATTAATGGGGCTTTGTTAGAAAACACACACTGTATAATTTTAAAGGTATAATTTTATAGCCATCCGGTACTATCTAGAACACAAATTTTTGTATGAATTTCTGAAAGCTTTTTTTCAACTTAAGTTTGTACACATTGCAATTTCTCTTTCCACAGTTTCACCCACCACTTATATTCTAACATGAAAAGATGATAATGTTTTTTCATGAGCATTTTTACACTAGAAGGTTTTTTTGAAATGATTCATCACAAAATTTAATCACACTCATAAAGGGCAGTTTTTGTATGATGTTTATGCAGCATCTTCTAGTCACACAGATTAACTCTTATGAAATTATGAGTAAAGCAAACACTTTATTGTGGAATGCAGATCAGGCAAGGTGACTAATCTCACAACTCTCACAACTGCATTTATGTTAATCACTACAACTCTGTAATAAAGGAGATTTTACAAAAAACTATGTTGCTCTGATATTGTAGGATTATGTGAAATACTTGGGATGCACTGTAAGTGAACAGAAATGACTTCTTTGTTTTGCCCACTTTCAGAGTTCCTTACGTCCGTTCCTGGTGGACCCGTCGTCGCGTGCTACGGAGTGGCTCAAGGTTCATCTGAAGGAACATAAGCTGGAAGTTGTCAACCAACAGGTGTGTGAGAACTCACTGACCATGATGTACAGGATATCAGTGGATTTAAACCAGACATTGTGCAGACAATTGAAAGCAGATAAAAATAATTGAATAAAATTATAAGTAAATTAATAAAAAAAAAGAGAATAAATAGAAGATTAAATGAAAGTCATATGAATTTATCAAGTAAGACTAAGTATAAAAATGAAGTCTACAGTAAATATGTTGACAATTTTTCAATTTTTCTGCCAATGTCAAATCTAATAATTCAAAACATCATGTTTTTTTATCTCCTTTTATCATAGATGATTTTGATTTTCTTTCATAAATCTGAAATAAATGG